CCCCAAAACCCCAAAACCCCAAAACCCCATTGCTAATGTTGGATTTGAATATTTATGAAATCAAAATTAAAGATTAAATGTTATCATTTGTTTGTATTTGACTTTGAAGTTGAGATGTTGGTATTTTTGTGCCTTTTTTCACTTTGATATTCCCCAAGTATAGTCATCTATTAAGTGCTGATACCTGTTGTCTGGAATTTCAATGAGTTCTGGGATGTACCATTATAGTGTTATATCAATATGTTCTAGATATCTCTCTTATTGCGCTCAAGTCTAATGAGAGACCTATTGTTGAGATTCCTGCTGTTGTGCTGATTTTAGTGAGACATGGCTGTCTAGACCCTGTTCTTTTCAGGTGACTTATGTCTCTTTTTTCTTCCTTCAAGTATAGTAGAGTTTGTTGATTGATTCCTTTGAGGATCTTACTCATATTTGCTTTCATTTAGCCGTTCTTCTGAATAATTTTCAGTGGTCTCACCAATTGAACTGTTGAGGAAAGTCTGATTCCTATTTTTGTAGCGAATTCTATCTCTTATGAAATTCTAGCCTTGTCCAACAAATGATTTGCTTAATGATTTTGGGTAATTACCATCATCATACTGAAGTTAAACTTCTTCATTCTGTAGTCTATAATCATCTTCCAAATCTAAATGCTTCTTTGAGAATATCACTGACTGTTTCAATCGATTGTTTTAAAGCAGCTTTTAAGACTTATTTAAAAGTCTTTTATTATTACTTGTGCGTATATTTATTATTGGATGTGAATCTTTATTGGTATTATTAACATTTTCTTAAACTTAATCTGTTTATATACCAATGCTAACTCTCTCTAAGCCTAATTTTCTATTGAGCATCTTTTCGAAAACTCTCAAGTTAAATGATACTAGCTCATATTTAGGTTGAACTTATACTTGAATATTATTATGGGATGTCCTCGTATTTTTAATTTAGCCACCTTAGCTTTCAACTGATTTGTTTAGTCTTCCATATCTTGGATCTATTTATTCCTGGGACTTGTTTACATTTTAGCCATTCCTGGAATTGCCACCTTGAGTTGCAATGGATTCTATTTTCTATTCTTTTTAATTTTCTTAGAGTGATGTTTTATTATAGGTTGGAGTCATTTTATTAATCATTACAGAGTCCTACTCTTGCATTGAATCTTCAAACATAAGATTTTCTTTATCCTTAGACCTGGCTGAATCTAGCTTAGATTAAAAATTCTTAGTTGCTTGCAAAAGATAGCTATCCTCCTCATTGCTCAGGTCAGATGATTTATTTTTAGCATTAGGTTATTTAGATCCTCTCTCAGTCTATCACTTCGATTCTTTAGTTTCAAGTTTCAACATTGTAATCGATTTTTAATCATTATTGAGAGTTTTTCTTTTATTTGGCAACTAAGTAGCATTTTATTTATTTCTGCTGTCAATTATTGAATTGGACTTCCGAGAGGTTTGAATAATTTTTTTAGAATCTTATTCTAGCTAATTAATCTGAGCCATGTCTAGTTCAGTGCCAATCTCTTAGTGCTAAACTTCTTTATTTTCTGTTTATATTTTCTATTTTTAAAGTTATCTTCCTTTTTAGCAGCCTACGTCTATCCCTTGAACGAATTTATATTCCTGGTCTAAAATCAGTGAAGGTTTAAATTGAATCTCTTAGTTCAAGTCCATCATGTCTGTCATTGTGAATTTTTCTCTATTATGATCTTTCAAAACTTTACTCATAGTCTTGAATGTTTTGTTGTTCATTTCATTCTTAACCTTAAGTCTTAATTGCTCGAGTCCTTGAATAGGATTCTGTTGAAAGAATACAAAATTTGGATTCTGGACAGACATCCTCTTGAAAAGTGTATTTAGCCTATCCAATTCTTTCTCAAGCAAGTTTATATAATATCTTTGTTCTTCAAATGCCGCTAACTTTAAATTGAAATCTTGCTCCTAAATTCTCAGCTAGCCCGAAACTTCCTAGACCTTGTTCGAGTTTGATTCAATTTGAACTGACTGTTGAGTAATCATATATTTGTAATAATTATTAGTCTTTTCAAGCAATTAGCACTTAGCTTTAATTCCCTAATATTTCCTAACGTGCTCTGTGAGCTTCTCTGTTTGTGTTTCTATTTTATCTTTTAAGTCTGCAACTATTTCTATCTTTTTGAGTTGGCCGCTTATTTTCTATAGATTTTTGTAAAATCTATTTAATTACAAAGAACTTATTATAGAGCTCTTTAATCTGATATTACACAGCTGAATTCTCGCCATTTTGCACACTTACGAGTATCTTAGAAATTCTCGTCATAAAAAGCCACTTCATAAGCTATATAGAGATTAGTTTTAAATGTAATTACAGTATATTTGAGATTCTATTTCTTAAGGGAGTCCATACTATCAAAAGCAACTTATTAATAATCTCTCATTTTTTATTCTACAAAACCTATTCTGTCTAAACATTACTTAGTTTTCAAATTCATAGCCTCCTCATGCACCTCCTAAGTTTTTTCCTTATATTCTAAAACTGCTACCTCGTATTTAGACTATTGAGCTGATTAAACCAAGGAAATCTCTTAATTTTTCCTTCCTATAATTCTTCTGAATAGTTCCAATTCATTTTTTACAGATCCTGCAAACTTGCTTACCTTAGATTGAGATTCATGTCTTGCCTTATTCAATTCTTCGTTGAACTATTTGGTTATTTACTCCTTAAAAGCAGGTGTAATTCCAAACTCTTCCTCTATTGTTGGATGAAAAAAACCAAACCCAAAAACATCCTCTAATGCCTTCCACAAGATTTTAGGATCCTTCTCGACAATCGCCAATTTTTTTGTTATTGAAAAAGCATTTAATTCATCTAGAGAGACCAACATATTCCCATCTTCACATAACTTCTCAAACATGATAATCTGTCTCTAGAATATTTCAAGCTTGTCTTATTACTATCTTATCTAATCCTCGTATAAGCGTTGCATGTCTTAAATTTTCATATTGAGCATAGTTTTTGTCCCCTCATCCATAGTTTCAGTTGTATCGAAGAACCTTACTTCAGTATACTGGAAATTCTTATTCTATTGTTTTAAGATTAATGAGTCTCTTAGATTTTGTAGCTCCTTGGTATAAGTAGCTCTCATCTGTGAAATCATTTGTTATAGATCTTTATTCGTATCCTTAGCCTGGACAAATTTTGAAAAATACTTATCTTTTTCTGATTTTTCTTCTGCTAGCCTAGATTTAAGCTCATCTATTTCATCCTGGTATAAACTCAGTTTAAATTTCTAAGCTTATTAGTTTTTTATTATTGTTTAAGGAGCTATTGTTATTGCAGAACCCTCACCCTCGATCAAGTACTCTTCCTTTGGTAAATTGATAATGTCAATCAAACTCATTTTAATATCATAGGCTTTATGCTTGATGATTGAATTAAGGAAATCCTTGCACAAATTCTCCAGTAATCTAGTTATTTCATCTTTATTGATATTCTGCAATAACTGTCTCTAAATCTTTATTTAATTATTTAAGAACTATTTCTAGCTATCAATATTTCTATCACTGTCTGGCTGCTCTGGTATCTTTCCTAGCATATTATATCTCTCATCTAAGCCACCATCTTGAAAATCAAACTCTTCATGATTTGATGAGTCTGAATATTACTACTTTAAAGTTGGAGCTTTGCCAAAAATAGAGATTCTTTCTAGATGAGGCGAGCCGTCAGTTGAGGATCTCTGTTTATATCTGGTTGGACTCTATGAATTACTTGTATTGATATGCAATTCTCTTCTAGCCCTAGATGATACTTAAGATTAATTTCTATGTTTTTTAGTGAGACTCTTAGATCTCTATATATGTCTCAATTAATTATGCTAATTATGATGCCCTCCTGAAGTACCTCCTATGCCACCACTAATCCCCGTTTTAATTCTATTAAGTTCATCTCTTGATAAAAATGGATTATAAACTCCTTGCCTTTTCTTTTCCTCTAATGCAACTAATATCCTTATATTTTTATTCACAAGTTTTTGTAGGTTTTAAATTGTGTATTAGAATATTTGTTCTAGGTCTAAAGGAAAATACTTATAATTCTCATAGTACTTTTTATCCATTATTATATTGCTAGCTGTTGAAATTTATTTTTCTAAAATTAATTGTTCTCTTTATAAATAATTTTAGTAATCTTTTTGGGGTTTTGGGGTTTTGGGGTTTTGGGG